GAGTCACTAGGGTTGGCCAGAGAGAACAGAAACTCTCCCTCTCAATGGGAGGAATGTCTAAGAACTTGAAGTTTAAAACCACCACACCAGTGAAGCCTGGATCTCAAAACATGGTTTGGGATTATGCCCAGGAGTATCTCAGGTACACCTGGGTAAAATGTCTGGACCTCTCATGGTCAGAGGCTGTCCCTTCTGGCACTGTTGACCTCTCTTACGTCCTGGTCTGAGGCTAGTCTGTGATGCACTGGCGTGAGTGGCAAAGACTGCACACAGCCTTTGGAACGGGCCACAGTGCTGGGTTGGGGGTGAACTGGGAGTCCCAGATCAGCCACTATCTCATGGTGGGTTCTGAGTGAGTCCCATTTCCTCTCCAGGGTGGTCATCTCTGGACATAGACTTCTACAAAGATCCAAGAAGGTAGTGAGAATCTTTGGAAATAGAGGAAAGGAGCTACAGGGGGAATTGTCCATGTGGGCCCAGCTGGATGCATGCACAAGGGGAATTAGGCTAAACTAACCACACTTGGCAAACAGCAACAGAGCACAGAAAGTACAAAGGAAGAGTGCTGAATGGCAGGATGCTTCCCGGGACCCCATCATCTACCTGCCTCCCTTCTGTTTAGGTTTCTCTAAGACCTCACACTCCAGGCAAGGGCTTCCTGTAGGTACCACACTTTATATTTACCCTCCTCTGAATGGATTATTTGTCAGTTCTTATGATTGGCTGTATCTCCCGCTGCTCTGAGTTCATGAGATAGGAAATACTTGGGTTTGTATTTTTGTTCCAGGGGCACTTGGGCATAGCATTCTCCATCCTGTTTGCTAGGTCTTACCCTACTATCATTCCTCCACGAAGAACCTGCTGAAAGTCAGCTCGGCCCAATGCTCTAGGCTCCTCAGTTCTCACTCCTCCCAGGGACTACTGTTTGGGGTGCAGGTGGGGAGATGCTGCTCTGTTCTCTGCACTTATTTTCTCACATGTTCTTCCCGCCATCCCAAATCAGCCACAGCTTGCATGGGAGAAAAAAAAAATTAGGTCTCAGAAGCTGCTTCTACACCACAAGCAATGAAGCACACAGAGACTTCATTCATTTACTTGACAAGCATCCATCGCAGTCCACAGTAAGATACCCACTAAGTTAGGAACTGAGGGTGCTGTTCCAAAAGCACAGAGATCCCTGCTCTCATTGACCTTCCATTTGAGTGGGGAAAAATGAATAACAAATACATGTATTAAATAGGATGCTACAAGGTAATACATACTGTGGGAGAAAACGAAGCAGAGTAATCAGGACATGGGGAACAAGAGCAACTGACATTTTAAATGGGATGGTCAGGGAGGCATCAATAAGAATAACATTTGGGAAAGAAAAAAGACAAGATATGGGTAGAAAATATACATTTAAAATCCTATTGTGCTTCTTCCTTGTCTGAGAATAAATTCAAGGATTTGTCGGCTTGGTAGCCTTAATACAAAAAGTTTTAAACCCTTAAGCTTTAAATAAGAGCCCAGGCTCTTATTGGCTCCTACTTGTCCAGAAACAAGTGGATCTGCAACCCCTCACAATAGGTGATACTTTATACTTAAATATAATCACAGTGTAAGCCACCACACACATACACACACACACACAAATATATACATACACACATATATATATATATATATATATATATATATCCTGCTATGGTTCACAGTGTATATCCTGTTATGCTATTTCTGTTATATATACATATATATCTCTCAAATATATGTATATCTTGTTAGCTTTATGTTTCATAATGTACATCTTGCTGTGTTCTTTCTGATATATGTGTGTGTGTGTGTGTGTGTGTGTGTATATATATATATATATATATATATATATCCTGTTAGCTTTAGTGTTCATAATGTATGTGTGCCCTGTTATATATATATCCTGTTAGCCTTAGCTTTACCATGTGTATCCCATGTTAGTCCTAAACTTCCTTTTACGCTATATGAGCAACCTGTTCCTAAAGAAAACCCCTAACCACAGGTCAATTGTGACATCTGCTAAAAACGTCTGCCTCTGTAAAATTCTGCTTTGCTCACCCCTAGCCCCCTCCCAACTTAAAACTGCAATATAAGATCTTCCCTTTTTGAGCACTCAACACCCAAGCTTTTCTGAAGTATGAACTTCACTGGGCCAACCAGTCATTAAAGTCTGGTTTTTTCTCCCACCTCTTCAAGTAAAACTTTCATTTTTTTCCAAGGTTCAGGATTTCTACAACAGCCTGGTTCCTGTTTTCTCCAGACACACACACACACACACACACACACACACACACACACACACATGCAGAGTCTCTACACTCTGGTCAATCTCAGGTGTGCGCACATTCCCTGTGCCACACATATATATAATGCTCCTCATAGAATAACTATAAAATAACAGAGATATCTTTTGGAAGAACACAGGAGGTTAACACACTGGAGCTGTGTGGAAAATATGCAAAAGTCCTAATCAAAAAGTGTTCCATTACACACTAAAGCTCATGCTGCAAAGCATGAGCAAGTGAAGAGGGATTTACTGGGGGCCCATTTCCAACTTGCTACAGATGGGAAAACTAAGGCCCAAAGAGGGTTGATGGCATTCTTGAGGTCACACCTCATCGGCACACAAGGACCAGATATTCTGCAGGAATAGCGGGTGATCTGTAAGGCCTCAAGTTCCTTTATTAAACCTTAGAAGGAGAAAAGAATAGTCTGATTTCCCTTCTACCAACTGACTACTTTATGTAGGAACTCAGTGCCCTGATTAAATGGCCCCTTGCTGATCTCTTATACCACCCAATGCAGCCCTGTCTTTCCTGACTGGGGATTCTGCCCTAGTGTGTGCTGGGAAGTCAGTAGCAGACTGTTGTTCTGGAGAGCGACTCTGCAGGCTGTCAAAAGAGAATCCAGAAAGAGTCTCTTGCCACAGACAAGACTTGGGTGGCTGTAGTATGATCTTATGACCCAGGATTCTGTGTTCTAAACCCAGTTCCCACTACTTGGCGGCCAGGAGAAGGGAGGTCTCTGGTGGCTTGAAAGAAATGGGGTGCTTTAGGGCCATAGGGCTAATGCTGTAACCATAATACCCACGAGGAAGTCAGAACTAAGTGTGAAGGTCAACAGATTTTGACAAAGCCAAGAAAAACAGCCAAATGAATGAGGCTGTGTTGCAGATCTTCAATGGGGACAGGGGTGAGAGAAGGGGTGGGAGGGAGTGTGGTACACTGGCGCCCACTTAGGTCAAGATCAAATCTTACTCTTGTTTCCCAGGTAATGCCCAGAAAGGTGAAAAAGTACGTCCAAATCCCTCCCCTGTTCTTGGGGCCCTGAAGGCCCAAGTGTTGCTTCCAGGTCCCTCAGGACATTGGTAACCCTCCCTGCCGGACCTCCTCCTCTTGGGAGGCAGATGTTCTTTCCTTGGAGAAAGTAACTTGACCTTTTACAGAACAGAAACACCGGTAATAACGACAATAGCTATTATTTATTGTGCAAGCTCCCTGCTGCCAGGTTTTGTACAAAGATTTTTAACATTTACATTTTCATTTAAGTCTCACAGCACACCTATAAGGTAGAGTCCATCATTTTTATCTTACCAGGAAACCGAGGGTCAGAAACTGAGGCTCAGAAATGCAAAGCTATTTGCCTGAGGTCTCATAGCTAATACTTGAGGGCTCAGGATATAAATTTAGGTCAGACTCTAGGCTCAAGGTCTCAGCAAACATTGTCTGAGATAAGGTTTCTAGGAGGAAACCCTCACTCATAGATGATTGACAAGAGTACTAAAATCATATTAAGAATTAAAGACTGTTAAAAGTCCTTACAAACCAGAAAAACTCCCCAACAAAAGTGGGTCGATGAAATATAGAGAGGTAGTTCACAAAACCAGAAATATCCATAGAGGAAAAGCTTACCATCGCAGTCATCAAAGAAATACCAATTACTGCCGTGTGAGGTTGTAATGAGAAAACAGCAGTGCCCAACCCATAAGAGGACCCTAAGACAGAATGTGACACCCTGATCTAAGACTTTCGGCCTTTAGGCCGTGACAAATAAGTGCCTCTTGTCTGTGGCATTCCGTTATATTGGCAAAACAGATAAGGCCTCCTATTACCTCTGAGGAAAACCAAAGATTTGGGCGATAAAGAAAATGTAATCATGATATGCATGTGCGCACACGAGAGAAAGAGAAGAGCAAATTAAAATTACCACTGTTCGTTGCTTTTTGCTTGTCGGGCTGGAAAAGATTAGAAAGAAAATGGCTACTCCAAAAGTCTGGGGCGTACGTAACTGATTTAATTTACCCCTGGTTTACTGTGATTGTGTCCACAAGATAGACTTTATAATTATCAGCTGCATGGCTTGTGTCAGTGAGCAATAAACATTTTTATTATAATTGCTAAGACAAAGTCAAACAGAAAACAGCGAGACAGGCAGAGCGCGGACGAACCCTCTCCCTCGCGACTCCGGGGACCCCGAGACTCCCAGCGGCCTGCGTAGACCCGGAGTCGGCCCGTGTCCTGGGGTAGGGGGGCGGCTCAGGCCGCGGGGTGGGGAGCACGCGGATACCACAACTCCCAGGAGCCCGCGCGCGCCCTCGAAGGATCACGTGACCCGCGCAACCAGGGACCATCGGCCAAACGCACCCACAGCGCTGGACCTCTGCGTCCTGCACAGCCTGCCCAGGAAGGAAAAGCCTTTGAAAATGGACACAAATGATGCACTACAATTATTTGAGCAGAAATAAGCCTTTGTAGTTACAAATCAGTGTGAATTAAGGGCTAAAAAGAATAGATGATTTGCTTGCAATTCTTGTAAAAATTAATTCCACCCATTTGTCATAATCAGCATTCATTTGCATACAAGATGCTAAAGACTTCCTAGTTTGTTCTATTTTATGAGGAGGGAAAAAAAAACCTATTTTCCTGTCAAGATCCAGTCTATTTCAAATTACTGGAAACTCTAAAATAAAGTATAAACGATCCGCCGAGGATGGACGCGGGTGGGCAGCTGGGGCGGGGTCCCCGGAGCAGCTGCCCCGGACACCTTGCCGCCCCTGGCCCCGGGCTGGTGAGGGCACTGTCACACTCGGATCAGGGTTAGGCACGGCAGGTGGTGCTGGCGGTGGCTTCGGAGTTTCTCTTTCCTCCTCTGGCTGGGAGTCAGTCGGGCCACTGGAACGCCGGCTCTGCTGTAGCCAGAGGTGCGAGCACCGTGGGCGAGTACAGCCCGGACTCCGGGCTCCGGCCAGCGCCCAGGGACTCGAGAGTGACCTAGGGGTTCCGAGGAGGCTTCTGTCAAAAGGAGAGTCCCAGGGGGTTCCGCTTGGCCGGGCTGCACACACACCCCCACCACCCGGGCCCGCCCTTGGCAAGTAGTTGTGATTCTTTAAAACAGTCCCAGCTGCTTCCTATTCTCGCGAGTCCGAAAGTAGCGTGTTTGTGACAGACAATTTTTCTTTTTGGGGTTCACCTGGGCCGGAAAGAATGACATTTTAAAAGAGCTTGGTGTTTGGAGAAATCCTAACACTTTTTTCATCTCATGAAGAATACTGGTTACGCTAACAGACAGGAAACCTATGCAATGTGTAGTCAACCGCCCACCCCACCTCCTGTCTGTCCTCCAAAAGGGGAAATAGATGGGAAAGTTTCCCAAGCCAGTCAGCAGCGGCACCGGGCCCTTAAATCTCCTTCTGAAGTCTTTGGTTAATAAATGAGGAAGCTTCTCTCAGAGTTTTAAGTAATTCCACACGGGAAAATAAGGAAGAAAACAAGTCCCACGGATTGCTCCCTGTTCCCCAAGGCACTCCTCCACCCAGGGCGCGGTCCTGAACACAGCACGGGTAAATTAAACCAGAATCGTCCCCAGTGGGAAAACAAGATTTAAGACCTACCCCCTGTTTATCTGACCACAGAATCCTTTAACTGAAAACTGCAGCACGGAGCACACAAGTGAAAGTGTGCTGATTTGAATCCCTTTTCTTGAGCAAGTAAGCAAGAGTGGAGAAGGCCAAGCAGCCCCTCCTGGGCTTCCACCTTCTAAAACAAGTATAGAACTGATGCTGTCTGCACTTCCAGTTCTGAATCCACTGTACAGCCCCTTGTCATCCTGACTGCCTTCTGCTACTACTTCTTCAGAACCAACCAGCCACCTGTACCCCTGTCCCCCATCCTCAGTTAGCTGTCTCCCAGATGGCTTTATATCCCACCTCCTGGTCCCTCCAGGTCCCCGTTGTGCCTCCCTGTCTGTGATGACATACCCTGTTGTAATTAGTTGATCACTCCCCTATCTCCCCTACTAGACACTTAGCTCCATGAGGATCTGTATTTTTCACATCCCACTCTATACCTTTAGGGACTGCATATCCATAGTACAGCAAAAGGAAATGTTGAGTAACTTTTATTGTCTGTAAATGTTCCAGTCCACTGCAAAAGGTATGGGGTTGTTTTGAGCTCCTGAGGCAGCTGGCCCAGGCCCAAGGATGATAGAAGAAACCCAGTTAAGGAAACTCCCTGAGTGATTAATTAGCCTTTGGAGGCATTCCATTCATACCAGCTGCTTTACCAACTGGATTCAGAAAAAGGGTCATGGGCAAGACTGTTCACCTGGCAGAGATGGTGTCAGACTTCTCCTGAAGTCAAATGAGTTTAACGCAAATACAAATGAAGTTTCACAGGATTACTTCTATCTGTGCATTTTTGCATGTTACTCTTTTCTGAACATTTTGCCATGTTAACAGATACACTTTTTGAAATTCTGACAGGAGATATCTCTGGATAGTAGATCTCAAAATGACTTTTAGCTTCTATTTGGTACTATTTCAGCTTTTTGTATTGAACAAGTACCACTTCATATCAGGGGGATTAAAAAGCTACCTTTATTTTTAAATTATTTGACATGATTTTAAAGTAACTGCTAAGATTTCTGTTTGGAAGCTATCACATAATTTACCTAACCAGATCCTGCTAAGCATCGGGAGAGTATCATGGTTCAGATGAACCATGAGGCCCACAGACACCTGCCCCAGAAACAGCCTGAGTGCTTATAGAGTGAATTTAGGTTTGAGAACCAGCACAGGCTTTCCAGAAGGATCTATGGCTCTGGTGCCTGACCTCTGAATGACCTTGGGAGGTAAGTGGGCCTTTCTGTGCCTTCCTTGTCAATTTAAAGGAGTTAGCAATAGTAAGTGATTTCAGAGAGGTCAGGGGGGTGACACAGAGGATGAAAGGTGACCGTGCAGGTCCATGCAGGCCATCAGAATTCACACAACTGCGTGGCCCGTCTGTTCCATCATAGGATTTTACATTCCTTCTCTGTCCTGCAGATCGAGAGAGCTCAGCGCCTGTGTAGGCACAGACAGGGTTGGTGACAAGTCAGACTTCTTTCAAATCTGAAAAGCATGTTTGCTGAGTAGAAAAGTCAGCTGTTTCCAGGTCTCTAGCAGACTCAAAGCTGCAATGTCAGATCTGAACACAAGGACTGAGACATGCATGGATAACAGCAGAGGGAGTGTTAAACATTATTTTGCCCAAATACAGTTTTTCCCAAACTGAACCACAGAATCCATTTTTCAGAGCATCTTTTAACATCCTGGGGTTTTCATGGAATCCTTTTGAGAAACACCCACCTCCTCAAATTCTACAGGTATGGGAAAGAGGTCAACTTGACCATATCACTTTATGTGGATGGTTTTACAGTATTTTTTCCCAACTTCCCTCAGGAGGTATAAAGGCCTGAGAGAGACCTTGATGAGCAGATCTGGTTTGTTCTAAATTCTAGACTCAGTCTACTATTTTTTACTATCTCCTTTGATTTTCGATTTTGAGAGAGGAAGAAGTGGACAGGGCTAGAACATGTATGGCTTATGGTTTAGACGATTGCCTGTGAACAGAAGCTTCTGACTCTGGTGTCCAAGAGGCCATGGAATATCCACATGGCGCAGCTTCCAAACAAAATGGCAGCTCTTCTAGTGTATCTGTCCTGCCCACCCACTGAAGATTGCCTCAGCCCGAAGTTCCTTTCTCTGAGTTGAGAAGAGATTGCCCCCACAACTTTCCTTAACGCCCATACTGTCTTACAGGTCCTCCCTGGTTGAACACATATTGAGAGCAGCTAAGCTCCTTATGAAGTCATGGGCAGATCCCTTTCCCTGTCTGGACTCCCCATCCCCATCTATGAATGAGAGAGGGTGGAGGGGGTAGGAGTTGGGCCAGATCAGTGTTTTTCAATCTGAGTTTCACCAAAGTTCAGGCCTGTTTCCTCCTCTCTTCACTTAGATCCCAGTGTTTCATAATGGGGTGATAAGGAATATTCTATTTGTCCATGTTTTCTTGCAAAAAAGCCGAAAGTCAGGGGACCAACATTTTTCTGAGACAACTCTAGCTCTGACACACCAGGATTTTAATATTTGGCCACTTTCATAGAAAGCAAAGACTTCAACTAACTGATCCCAGTGGAGCTAGGGTCTCTTTGGCCTTGGTGTCTACAGACTAGTTTCTGCTGGCCAGGTAGCCTTACCAGGTGACAAGAGGGGATTTCTCTTCCCTGGATGGGTGAACTGAGCCACCTGACCTCGGTCTTGCCCAACACAGTCCTTAGCCTGTCAGGGTATTTAATATTGCCATCCTGCTCCTATCTTGCCCTCTTTTTTTCTTTTTGGAGACTGGGAGACTGACTCATGTTTACCTTGGAGGGCATGGGTCTTGGAATCCAGCTAACCTCAGATTTGAATTCCAGTTCTGCCAACATTAGCTTTGTGACATCTTGCAAATTACTTAACTTCTCTGAGCCTGGCATCCCCCATTTTTCTTCCTATAAAATGGGCTTCATTGTCCCTGTCACACCAAGGACTCTTGTACCATTGTGGTAAGGTAATGTATAAAAATCCCTTGATGCCACCCTGAGCGCAGCACTCTTTTGGAACGGGCATGCAAACAGGCACTGCATGACCATTCCTTTTACCTTCAGTCTTTCCTGGAAGGCCATGAACTCATACAGGGCAGAGACATTAATCCTTCTTAATGCTGAGCACAGGACTGGACTCAGCCAGTGTTGAGTGAATAAGTGGATAGATGTGTACAGATCGAAGACAGCTGCCTTTGGGCCCCTCCAGACATACTCATCTACCTGGATTCACCAGGACAAAAAGGACTCTGTGCTCCCTCGGGGAGGCTGCCCGGGAGCTGAGCAGAAGGGCTAGGATGGAGGTAAGAGGCACCCTACTGCTTCCCCATTGGGTTTGGAGGGCACAGAGGGGACGTGGCTTCATGGTCTAAGGGCACTGTGACATCCCAAGAGCATGGATCCTCTCATATCTTCACTGCTTCAGGAAGCAGGCCCAGGATGATCACAGCTCTGTTGCTGACGCACTGAGGCAAGCCCCTCTCCTCCTGGCCACATTTGGCCTGTATAGCCTTTTCATGGACCTTTCAGCCTGTAAATCTTGTGACCTTGTTTTTCTAGGCCTATAGAAGAAGCTTCTGGAGAGCACTAGGAACCAGGACTTCCATTGCCAGAAGCACCCTGTGATACAGATTCCCTTCTCTTTCAGATGCATTTCATTTTCTCAGATAAGGTCATGCTCCTGTTTGATTTCTGGAGTGTTCACAGTCCTGCAGGTAAGAATTGGGAAGCTCAGACTTGTAGCTTGGGAAGCCTTGTAGTGCTGGGCAGTGGAGAGCAGCATTCCTCCACCATATACACTGAAAAGGAACTCTGCAACTACGGTTCCATTAGCAACACTATCCTTCTGATTGTCAAGGGCTCCATTATCTTATGGATCCTCACAAGGCCTGGAGAGAGGCCGGGAAGACAGCTTTTCCCTGTTCCAGTGGGAAGGAACTAAAGCCCAGAGGGGCACAGGCTCATGCAGGGGAACACAATAAGTAAGCATTGGAGCCAGAACTAGATTGAGGCCTCCTGGGCTTCCTGACACTTCTGTCCTCTGGGCTTATCGTCCAGCACTGGCTCAGAAGCCCACAGCAGCCTCTGCAGCCTTGGACCTCATGAGACACCAGTTTGAAAGGGAAGCTATTCCTTTGACTTGAAAAGGCAGAGTTTGATACTAATTCATGATGGAATTATTTTTCAACTTAATTATCTTGCCAGCCATGGTGGTACCCCTGAAACCCCCAGCACTTGGAGGCTGAGGCAGGAGGATCACCATGAGTTCAAGGCTAGCTGAACTACAGACCCAGTCTCAAAAAACAAAAACCAACAAATCTTAAAAATAGACTAGAAACAGCCCAAACATCCATCATTGGAGGTATAGATCAAATAAATTAGTCATTTTATCATTCTCTCAAGAATCTGTAGGCTGACTGGGCTCAGCTGAGTGATCCTCACTGAAGGCCTCTCTTCTCTTGCGATGTTGTCACACAGTGGCTGGAACAGGAGCCATCTTGGGGTCTCTCACCTCATATCCAGTGGTAGATGCTGGATATGAGCTAGGATTTTGGCCAGGGGGTCTTGGCTAGACACCTACATGTGGTGTTTCCTTTGGCCTAGGCTTTCTTGTGGCAGGGTGGCTAGGTTCTAAACATGATTATCCCAAGAGAACAAGGGAAAACTGAGGTTTTTGAGATTTAGCCTTGGAAATCACATGACTTCCACCTTATTGGCTGAGGCAGTCACAAAGGTGTTCCTAGGCTAAAGCAGGGAGAACACTGGTCCCCACGACTTGGTGGCAGGAATGTTAACATTCTAAGAACAGGTGGGATTAGATAGTGGGGTGGCCATCTTTAGAAAATAAAATGTTACAGATACTGTGGAGCCACTGGGAAAAATCAAGCAGATCTGTGTGAACCCCACATATAAGGTACAGCTGCATGGTGAAATCAGATGCTGGAGAGTGCACAGAGACAGGATGTGTCATTTAGACAGATGAAGACTGGTACAGACATGATGACAGGCTGCTCTGGGGAGGATGATCAGGGTTCTGGGAAGCTGGGCTGGGGGAAAGACTGACTTTTCCCTTACAACCTTCTTCACTATTTGAACTTTTACCATGTGACTGCAATTGCCTATAATTTTATGTTTTTGAATCCTGCGTCTTTTGCAGATAATTTCTTCTGTGAGGAAGAAAGCCAATCTACTCTTTTACCTTTTTCCCCATTCAGTACAGGCCAGGTTTGTAGCCCCTACCACAACCCCTGCACTGAGTTTTCTGATACCAGCTGAGTGTCCTGCAATTCATTTATCACACTAATCAGACGCACACATCCCACAGGTTAAGAGCATCATCCTACAAGACTTCCCCCCTCCAGATATCAGCTGTAAACCCCATATTAGCTCCTATGCCTGTGAACAGTCAGCTATAAAATCAGGTCCCATGAACCCCTCCTTCAGACTAATTTTTGCTAGAATGGCTCACAGAATTCAGAGAAATGCTTCATAGGTATGATTGATTTAAGTCATTGGCCACTGATGATTAATGTTCAGTCCCTCTTCCTTTTCCAGAGGTTGAGGGAGGGACTGAAAGTTACAATCCTCTAGTCACCTGGTAACCCCCGGCCCTGAGGCTGTCTGGAGCCCCAGACACTTAGTCATCATAGAAGCAACACTGGGCAACTCTAGCCCATTTCCAAGGGTTTTAGAAGCTTTGTGCCAGGAAACCAGGGCAGAAACTAAATACATATTTCTTACTACATCACAGATCCCCATAAAATACCTGGAAACCAGGCATGGTGGTACATGCCCGTAATCCTAGCACTCTGGGAGATTGAAGGAGGAGGACTGCAAGTTTGGGTACAGTCTGGACAACTTAAGACCCTGTCTCAAAATAAAAAAAGGGCTGGGAATGTATCTCAGTGTGAAGGCCCTGGGTTCAACCCCATGTACCACAAAAACAAAAAACTTTAGCTGGACCACATCTCTCACTTGTGAAAATAAAGTAGAACTAGCAGTTAATTTTACACAGCAGCTGTAGTAAGGACTTGTTTTCTATGAAATAACTTACTGGGTTTTTCTCTACTATAAAAGACAGAAAAAATAATAAGAAAATTATGCAATAAAGTAAAAGCCCACCTGTATCCAAATTTGCTGAGACAGTTATCCCTCCTGTACTGTGTGTCTTTCCTTCCAGACCTTTCTGGTATGTCCACGTTGAGTAGGACCTTGCTGTACACACCCATGTCACGATATATTTGTGCAGACTGCTAAGGGGGTGGGCCAGGTCTCTGCAAACTGGCCCCTCCGTCCCTTCCAGAAATTGTACATATTTGTGTGATATTTTGATACATGTATATATCATATAATGCTCAAATCAGTGTAAGTAGATTTACCGAAACATAAATTCTTTGTGTAGATGTGGTAAACACATCTACAATCCTTTGTTCTAGCTTGCTTTTTTGAATTCTACAGATAGTTATCAACGTCTCTAGTCGCCTTACTGTACATACACCACCAGAACCTAGTTCTTAACTCTGATTCTCTCAACAGGCATGGCCCTCTCGGTGTTGGTAGTCCTGCTCTTGGCTGTATTGTATGAAGGTATCAAGGTTGGCAAAGCCAAGCTCCTCTACCACACTCTGTCGAGCCTGCGTACCCCCACCAGCCAGGAGCACATCTTGGAGAGAGAGCGGGATTCTGTGGATTCAGACTCACTCTTGGCCAGCAGAACCACCCCCAGGTACAGGCACTAGCTGTGGGGGATGGGCAGAGTCCTTACATCACCCTGAGGAGTAAGCTAGGCCCAGACAGCATTAGTCCCGAGACAAGGAAATGAAGGCCCAGGAAAAGAGCAGGACTTGCTAAAATGGTTACAGATAGTTTGGTGATCTAGAGCTGAACTGTCCCTGTTACCTTGCCCAAAGCTGTATCAACAGCCACTTGGGAGGCTCAGGATATCTGCAGAGACCTGTGACCTTCAAAAATCTGCTGATAGGCTGGGGATTTAGCTCAGTGGTGCTGCCACCTGCCTTGCAAGTGCAAGGTCCCGAGTTCGATCCCTGGTACAAACAAAGCAAAACAAAACAAAAAAAAACCCCAAACAAAACAAAACTTTACTAAGAACTCTGCTACAGGCTCTGCCCAGCAGCATGAATGACCATTCAGCCCTTCCACATCTCACTAGGCTTCCAAAGCCTAGCCTCACTAGGCTTCCAGCTGCATCTGCAGCTGTCCCAAAGCAAATGCTAAGAACTGCTGTCAGCCATGTAACCAACTTCGTGGGTGAGGGGAGGCATATTTTTCTCTCTTTCCACTTAGATCAGGCACCTGTTTAGGTCCCCAGTCTGTCCTCTCTCCAGCCTCATTGGGTGCTTAATACATCTGCCTGCACCATCACCAGGAAGCTTACCTGGGTGTCTCAAGTCTTCCCAACCATCCTGCAAGGGAAGAGTTTTATTCCTGTTGTACTGATGAGGAATTTAACATGTAGAGACATTAAAACATTTATGCTAGGCCAGATTTAGGCCTGTTCCTAGATCTCCCACCAGTGTCTGCTCTTTCCATTGTCATCCTACCTCTCACAGGATATTCAGGGTAAAAAAATGTAAAATCTGCACTACTGATTTCCTTGTATTCCTTATCAGACAAGACAGAGCACTTATATTATTTCCCTTTTTGCCTAGGATACCAGGAAGCTCAGAGCTAAATGTAGTGATGTTTCTTTAAAAAGTAAGCTCTCTTGGGCTGAGCATGTTAAGCTATAACACAAGGGCTTGCTCTCTGATGGGAGCTCCTTGCCTCTAGCACATTACCAACATTAACTTGGTTCTCCTCCTCGTCTAGGTGGCTTCTGTGTCATTTTGGCCAGTCTCTAGTCCATGTCATTCAAGTGATCATTGGCTACTTCATGATGTTGGCTGTGATGTCCTACAATGCTTGGATTTTCCTTGGTGTGGTCTTGGGCTCAGCTGTGGGCTACTACCTAATGTACCCGCTTCTTGGCAAGGTTTAGCTGGCAGATGATGAGCAGGCCTGAAGGGCTGGAGCGGGGCCAGAGTCCCCTCTTCCAGACATCATACTTCCAGCTGCTTTTTCTCCTGGTGGTTGTTCCTTGCCTGCCCAGCTCCCAGCAACTTTGGGCAAAAGCCAGCACTCGCCCCCTGGAGTTCGGAGGGCACTGCCCAGCTGACAGGCCCGGGCTTAGCGTGGTACCTTAAGAAGGCTGCTGTGACTAGGGGACAGATGGAGCAGCTAGAGCCTGTGACAGATGACAGTGCTGTGACGCAGACTTTCCCAAAGATCCTCAGGACAGGGAGATGGGCTTGGGTGACCATGGCTGTGAAACCTGGACCTGCTGTGTGCCTTATCTCCAGGAGCATCTTCGGCTGAGCTGTCCGTGGGGGACAGAGACCATGCTAGCTCCTTTTTCTCACCTTTCTGCCTTTGAACACATGAAGACTGTCTCTTCAGTGGATGTGGACCAAGATTTTTCATTTTCCCATTGGACTCCTGGTTGGCAATTTTGCACATTCATACAAGACAAAATTTTTAATGAAGTGATTGTATTTTGTACATGATGGATGGCAACATCTGCTGAGACCTGTCTCCCTTTCTTGAGGGGTGAATAAGCACCAATTCAAGGAAGACTCAGGAGTTAGAAAGGCTCTGGCTTGTCTGGTTAGAACGAGCTCCTGACATCAGATGGCCCTGGCTGCCGGGGGAGGTCAGTCTTGTGGACACTGTTCCTGAGGGAGGTCATGCCTTAATGACACCCCCACCCAGATACTGTCTTATGCAGAACAGAGAACCGCATTTAATACTGTTCAGTGCTTAGTGTTCTTTATTTATTACTTACTGCTCACTCGTAATGACCTTATGGGGAAACATGATTCAGTCCCTTATTCAGTCATGGTGATGGGGTATTCACTGAGGAAGCAGGAAGCAGTCAAACCAAAGCTGGTGCCCTTTTAGAATTAGATGGACTCTGGACATTTGAACTTCTTCACTTTACTGAAAAGGAAGAGTCCCAGGGAGAGAAAACTATTGCTGCATACTGTAACATCGACGCTCAAGGACCTCATGGGCTAGATGAAAAGATGCTCTTAAGCTTTGGGAGTTAAAACAGATACATTTTAATAAATATATATTTTTGAACAGGCTGTGACTATTGGTCTGTTTCTCCTTATTCCAACAGTTAACCCTTATCAGGACTGCAGGACTGGGGGGGTGCAAATGGAACTGGAGGCACACTGTGATGGAGGCCTGAGCCTGTCTGTTGAAGTCAACAGTTCTGTGCTCAGAGAAACTGAGGCTGAAACACTGTGTCTACAGGTAGGCACCCCAAGATGCCAACCTACCATTCTCTGTTCACGTAACAAGCATCTGTCAGTGCTCACTTAATAAGACCCAGTAATAAAAGACACAAGCAGCTGTGTTGTCATGGATATTCGCACCTGTGCTCTGTGGGGGAAGAAGCACAAATACGACTCCTTTTCTGTGGAGTGTGTGACGCCTCTAGGACTGCCTGGCACATTCTCAGGCATGCAGGGAACTGGAGAGCTGTCTGGGCAACAACAGGTGAAAGGTTCAGCAGAGGCTCAGTCATCTGTCATCAAGTCCTGACCTCAGTTTTTTCCCGGTGTACTGCTGCAGTGGGCACCTTCACGGGTAGTGGGTCAACTCCTCAGTCTGACAGTCCTGAAATGTGCCTTTCACAGCAGAGAGAGGCCTAAAATATTTTTTAAAGTCTGGGCTACAGAAAGTGATTATACATTAGACTTAGTAAAAGAAATCCACGGTTGTCTTTTCTACAGCCTTCAGAGCCAAGTCACAAAAAGTGGTATTTTCTACTTAATTTAAAAAATTAATCCTTTCTTGAGACAGGATCTTGTTATGTAGTCCAGGCTGTCCTCAAACTAATTAATGATCCTCCTGCCTCTGCCTCTCAAATATTGGCATTACAGGTAAGTACCGCCATACCTGGCCAATTTTTTAAAATTTAACATCTATATTAGTAGTTACTGTGTGCCAGCCAGTGTTCTAAGTATTCTACAAACATTAACTCATTTAATTCTCACAACAAAAACAGGAACTATTCCTGTTTTATAGATGAGGAAGTTGAAAAAAAAACTACTCACCCAGCTATAGGCCACAAAGCCAGCTTTCATTTTGGTTTTTTCCTTTTCTATTTTTTTTTTTTTGTACTAAAGACCCCAGAGCCTTTGCACTGATCTACCACCCTGGCCTTTATTAAATTTTGACACAGTGTCAGCTAATTACTCAGGCTGGGCTTATATTTGTGATCCTGCTAACTTGGCCTTCCAAAGTGCTGGGATTACAGGCATGTGCTACCATGCCCAGCTAGAATCTTTCTTCAGCTCTGTTTTCATGAGAGGGCTGAAGATGAAAAGGTAAGTAACTTGGCTGAGGCCACACAACACTCATGGAATAATGAAGCAAAGACTGAAAAACTTGTATTTGTATCTTACAATAAAGGGGTAGAATTCTCTCACCTGAGATGCCAGGAAGGGCCTAGAAGTCCATATTTTATTAGTGTGTGTTTGGATATATAATGAATACAGTCATCTGGGGAGTTGATATATGTACAATCTTAGTCTTTTCTGCATAACTTGTTCCTCCTAACCCAATGACAGTCTGGCAATGGTGGTGACCTAGAGCCAGGCTGTCCAATCAGACAGCAAGGAATTGAATCTCTTTTTCTATGGCTTACTGGCTGTATAATTTTGGAGAGGTTACTTTACTTCTCTAAGCCTGAGTCTTCTCTGTAAAAGGGAGTAACACTTCATGTCTTCTGCAGTGGCCGCTGGAGACAGAAACAGTCTATGTACAGAGCCAGCCAGCAGCATGTATTTGTTAAAATAACAAAAGTTAATACCTGGTTATTCTCAATGCCTTCCAGGCCCACGCTGGGGAGACAGGCACAAAGCCTACAAAGGTGATACGGGGCCAAACAGTGGAATTCAGGTTCCTATCACACACTCAGACAGGATCTTGCTATGTGGTTTAGGCTAGACTTGAACTCTATGTAGCCCAGGCTGGCCTTGAACTCATAGTGTCCTCCTGTCTCAGGCTCCCAAATACTGGGATTACAGGAGTGCATTATCTCTCCCAGACAGGTTCCTATCTTACAAACATTTAAAGTCAGCAATATTTTTATTTTTGAAGACTAGTTACATGGTCTCTGGAAAACCCTAAAATGAATAAAATGGTCATAAATACATTCTCACTGCTGTCCTCTGCATTAATCCTGACCCCACTTTCAGAGAAAATGGAAGCTGCTCCCAAAGTGAAGAATCTTTCAGGTGCCAAGAACAACAGGAACTGGGAACCCTCCCACCTTCTCAAACAGCCTACCCAGGAGAAGTGGTTTAAGGACCAGTCCTCATAACCACGAGTCCCTAAGCCTTATGCAGCTGGGAGGAGCTGGGATAGCTAGTGGCACCCTTCTTTGGAAGGTTTAGGCACCAGAGGGAACGGGGTCATGACAATTTTGTGCACATTAACAGGTCTATTTATAACTCCCACCCTTAGATTCCAAAGAGAAGCACCGACAGCCCTTAGAACCAATTTTTCCCCAAGGGCCGAGTCAAGTTTCATTAGTCATTTATTTTAGTTTTGTTAATTTCAAATACTCATTGAACTCTTATATAAGACTTAAGGCAGAGAAAAAAGATACATATCCTAGGAGAGCAGCCAGGCTGCTGACTGAACAGGGAAGGAGATGGTGTGGTTTCCCCTTGTTTCTCCACTGAGACACCCTGGTGACAGATCTTACTGCTGGGGCACAGCTGGGCTGACAGATGAAGTAGGACCCTCAGGTCATTCTGAGTGAATGAAGAGAAGAAAAAGCTTGGGAGAGGGCAGGACTCTTGTGGGTGACTAGCTGGAGAGGAACCTTGCAGCCCTTCCTCCACATGGACCTTGCAGGCAAGACCATAGTGGGCTGCTCCCAAATACCAGCTGTGAAGACAGAGTCATGATCTTCTTCACCAGGCCAGGTGGGGGCTCCTGAGAGGCTAACTCAGGTATCTGAACTGCTCACCTTGACCTCACCCTGTGGCTCGCCTAGACCCAGGGCTGGCTGTGCAAAATCATGCTTATTGGGAAGGGCCGGTAGAGAAATCTGTGCACCAGTTTCCTGGGTCTTCATCCCAGCCAGCTAATGTCATCGTCATCATCGTCATCTCCAAAAAGGGGTGTTGGGGGCGGGCGTCCCTTCATGCTCTGACAAAACAGGAAAGAGTAGTCAGTCCTCACTTGTTTCCGACCTGGCTGGACTTCCTGCCTGTGAGGTGAAGTGATTCAGCATCTGTCCCAGGCTCCAGGTTGGAAAGGAAGTGCACTGGAAGAACCAGCCCAGAGGCCTGCAACCTAGGCTTTCAGATAAAGCTGAGACGGCATGCAAAGAGGAAAGTAGTCTTGCAACAGAGACAAAAAGACCAACTTTGTTTGGCTAATTTTGTCATTTATTTGTGAAGCATGTGTATTGATTTGACAGATTTTCCTTTCATGTGGTAACTCACATTTCCTGTGCAGAAAAGAGTCACAGAGGAGAGTTGGGAGTAGGAGAAAGAAACAGAAAAAAAAGAGCCCTGAGAGAGGAGAAAGGATGCAGGAGTTGACAGGAGGTTGGGAAGAATACCATCACATTGAAACAACAGTTGTTGTGGCCTAAGCTAGTAGCCTGACTGGCTTTGGATGTGGCTTCATCATTTGAAAAAGAGTTGAATTTAGAGGCTTGGCGACATTCACAAGTGGAGAAACCCCAAATCGGAAGAAAACCCAGGGACACAGGGCCCAGCTACCCACAACCCTGGTCTCTCTTCACTCTTGCTCCTTCTAATCAGGCAGGGAGATAAAGGGGATTAAGGAATGCTATAGTTTGGACCTTAAGTGTCCCCTCAAAAACTCCTCATTATTAAAGGCTTGGTCCCCAGACTGGCACTTCTGGGAGATAGTGAAAACTTTTTTTTTGTTTTGTTTTTGAGACAGGGTCTTACTATGTAGTTGAGAATGACCTGGAAATCACTATGTAGTCCAGGCTGGTCTTGAACTCACAGTGATCCTCCTGCCTCAGCCTCCTGAGTGCTGAGATTACAGGTGTGCGCGCCCATACCCGGCAAGATAGTGGAAACTTTAAGATGTGCCTCAGTCCTGAGTGCTGAGATTACAGGTGTGCGCCACCATACCCGGCAAGATAGTGGAAACTTTAAGAGATATGGCCTGGAGGAAAGTCTTGGATGGTGGAGGGGAACCCTTGGAGCTGATGGTAGGGCCCCATATCCTCTTCCTTATTCTCTGCCCCCATCCCATGATGTGAACGATTTTTTTCTGTCCATGTTCTCCCTTGCTTTAGGCACAAAAGTGACAAAGCCAATAAACCAAGAACTGAAATCCCTGAAACTATAAGCCAAAATAAACCTCCTTTCTTTATAAGCTCATTATTTCAGGTATCATCTGATAGTAACAGAAAGCTGACTAACACAGGAGCCATGTAAAAGGTTCTCCCAGCCTTTTCACGACATGGGCTCCTAGCTTTTTCTCTCTGGATTGGCAGAGAAGAAGTCCTATGGAGGCTGTGGGGATTGAGGAGATAGGCATGAACCAAATAGTCTCTGTTAAGATACTTTCTGCTCCGTGAGCTTCTACTGACCAGAATCAGTCTCCATGAAAGCCAGGCTCATGGAAGGCAGTATGTACAGAGGCCCCTGAGCTAATCGCACTATCCACCTGATAAAAGAACTTGTATTTCTCTGGGCATTAATGAGGTGATCTCTAAATTCTGACAGAACAGGACTTAAGTGTAGCTCACACCTTCTGTTTTCTTTTAAGGCTCTGGCTGTTCACCAGCCATAAAATCTGAGTTACATTATCTAACCTCTCTGTGCCTCAGGGCTCTGATCTATAAAATGGGGTAAAAGTGTTTACCTCACTGGATTAGTAGAGGATTAAATGAGAATGTGAAATAGTTTCACTCCACACTAGAAACAGATGTTAACTTGGTGGTGTTAGCATCAACACCAACAATATGCTGCTATCTAAAAAATTCCAGCTATACATAGGACAATCACTTGGGATATGTACCCCCCACCTTTTCCTTTTAGTGCAAAATTTGTACTTGGTTTTCTCAAATCAAAATTTAATTCTTAAGAAAAAGCTAATGGGAGGAGTTGTACACTTCCCTCAAAGCAAGAGAGGCAAAAGAAAAGGGCTGTGGTATAAACAAGCAGGATCCCAGATCTGTCACTCACTCAGTGACACATGATGGAACACAACTAGCCTCCATTCAACCTTGCATTTCTATCCCTGGAAATGTGGACTGAAGTCTATCTGTCCTTCACATCTGAAATTCCCACAGCAGTCACAGTGGCCCACAGCCAGCCACAGTGTTTAACCTAGCATGATGGGGCATGGCAGGTGCATCAACTGGGGCTCCAATTCAGGCTCTGCTAGCAATTTACTCTGCTGGCCTTGCACTCTCGTGCTCTGTGAAGTGAGGTGACACTCGATAGTGAAGCATCTACTGCCTGGGTGCTGTGGTGACAAAACAAGACACCAGCTTGGAAGTGAGCTAAGTAACCAAAAGTGCTTGGAAACAGGTGTCTTAGGAGCCTGGGGTTTCAGTTCTCACCCCACCATAAACTCCCTCTGTGGCTTTAGGTAAGTTATCCTTCTGAGCCTTGGTTTCTTTGTCAAATAAAGATACCAATAAGGTGATCTTCAAAGTCCTTCCCAATTCTAAAATATAAGTAATATCCTAGCAGATCTAGGGAAACCTGAGGCTTTCACATGTCAGTGCAGGGCTAAAGCAGCCCACAATTCCTCACTTCAAGTGGAACTAATTTCTATGTGGCCAGAGATTCTGATTGTCCTTTAAGAGTAAAGCGGTATCTGACCATCCCCACCATGCTTACAGAGCCGCGCTCTCCCAGCCCCAAGTCTGCTCCCGCAGGGCCCTGTACACAGAGTCCAGGCAGGGGGCCACCAACAGACTCCACTTCTCTTCTCTGTGCCAGTGGGGAAGGGTCCCCAGGTGTTGGTGTGAGAACCTGGCAGGGCCTGGGATTTCCTTACCACCTCATCTTCATCCTCCTCTTCAGGCTGTGCTTTGGGCCTTGGAAGTTTCAAAGTTGCTCCTTGAAACAGTTCTTCCTCTTTGTCTCCAGAAAAACTGAAGGAAAATCAAGTCAGACAGTGCTGCTGTTCCTGCTCCATGCCACAGGGCTTAGCAGCTGTGAGGGTCACCAGTCCCGGGGTGAGGAACTGGAGTCAGGAACTCCTCCCCCTTTATGCCAGTGGCTGTTCCCCAGCCCGCCATGGAACCTTCCACAGGCGACAGCCAGACAGTCCTCTAAAGCTAACAGATTAGACATTACTCTTCTGCTTAAATCCCCTTAACAGCCTCTCACTGCCTCACATCACATCCAAACTTTTAACAGTGACACAATCGCATGTATCCTACCCCTACTTGGTTTTCTGACTTCAGCTAAACACCATTCACCTTCTACTTACAGTACCTTTTTTTCTTCAGATCCGTCTACCATAGGGCCTTTGCATATACTTTTCTCTCTGCAGTCTCTTCTTCCTGCTCTTGGTATGAATGGCTCCTTTCCATCCTCAGGTCTCAGTTGAGATGTTACATTCCCCAAATCCTTTCCTAACCACCCTTTCTAATTTAGAACATCCAGCTCTATTCTCTATTATAGCACCCTGTTTCTTTTAGCACCTACCCTACTTTTATAATACGTAAGTACATATTTGTTTGTTTTCCCCGTTGGACTGTAAGTTTTAAGTTAATTAATTAATTTGTGTTCTGTTCTGAGACAAGGTCTCACTTAGTTCTGGCTAGCTTTGGGCTCACTATGTAGTCCAGGCTGGCCTCAAACTCCTGGTGATCCTCTTGCCTCAGCCTCCTAAGAGCTGGGATTATAGGAGTCACCACTCTGATCATCTGAACTATAAACTTTTAAAACTCATGAACTACATCTGCCCTGACTACCTTACCACCAGCACAGCTACCACAGAGCCCTGTACATGGTAGATGTACACAAGTGAATGAATGAATAACCTAGTCAGTTATCTAAGTGATGAGTCTCCACCACTGGACAAAATAGAGAAAACCTCCACACATAGCCACTGACACTGCCTAGAGGAACATACCTGGAATGCTGAGAGTTGTGGCTGGGTCCGAAGGTGGCCTCTGTAGCTACAGAACTGGCCTCTGTGCTTGATAGTGCTTCACACAGACCAGTGACATCCTTATCTCCTGGGCTTTCAGGCTCCAATGCTGGTGGGTCCCCCTTCTCTGGGTCTGGAGTCAGTAACACTGTCGCAGAGCATTCCTGTAGAGGGCCATGTGGGGCTGTTTCTCCAACATGCACCTTTCCCAGTGGGTTGTCAGGCTTGGCTGCCATTGGGGAGGCAGCAAGTGTCTCCTCACACTCAGAGTCTATAGTTACGGGACCTGGAGGCTTAGGGGGAATTGAAGTTGGCAGCCCCAGAAATCTGTGGGCTGGAATGCAAGCTGCTTCAGGTGGGAGAGAACCATCTTCGATCTCTGAGAGCGCCTCTGCTTCTGAGGATGGCCCTTCCCTTCTCTGTACATCATCCTGGGATGTGGCGAGTGCCTGCAGAGGCAACGAGACAGCCTCCTCAACTACCTGCTCCTTTGGCACCACTGGGGCCTCCTGTCTCTCCTTAACCAGGGGTGGAGACAGCCTAGGAATGGCTGGGCCTGACTGCTCCTGGGATGGTCTCTGAGGCTGCTCTTCTTCCTCACTGCTGCTCTCTTCCTGTTCTCGTTCCTGCTGGTTCAACAGCTGCAAAGTCACCATCTGTCCAAAAGCCAAGAAGGAAGAGATGGGTTACTAAAAGAAGACAGCAAGCCATGCTAGTTTCTCAGTCCACATTAACACAGCTGTCTACTAGTTCAAATGACTGTGCCCCTTCTTGTTGGAAGAGGCTGGCATATCCAGCCAAGAACAATCATTCCAGGAAAAACCAGTTACTGATGATCAGCAAAGTGTCTTACTCTCAGTCCTTTACAGGGTACTTAAAGCAAAATACTATTCCAAAGAAACAGTCAGCAGCTAGCTGGCTATACCTTGATTGTACTCATGACGGTCCCCAGAATTGTTCTGCCATCGTAGGATTCCTCCAGCTCAAACTCTCCCCGTAATGACTGGAACACCTGGTTCATGATCTTCTTGACCTGTGTGATTATCAAAAACATGCTACCAAAATCAATGCATTAAGAGATCCAGTGAAATTCTACAGACAGGTCTGGAAAGCTAAAACGACACCATCTTAACATTCTACACAGCTGGTCAAGAATGGAGATACTGAGAGCTGCTGCTGTGGAGAATGTTAAATAACATGCACATTTTGACAGAAGGGTTAGCCAGGAGAATTCCCTAGGATTAGTGGGCACTGAATGCTGAGCACAAAGCCACCCTCCATTCTTCTGTGATTCAGAGGCACTTCCTGTGTCCATCAAAGGCTCAGAAAAATAGGGCCCATTTTGGAATTGCCAGAGTCAAAGGTTCCAAAGGGTTAATTTTTAAATCAACAATGAAACATATTGGCCATATGCTTTCTGAATGCCTGATGTGCACATTCCACCCCTTGATGTGATAGAGTTTGCTGCTTCTTCAAAATAAAGTACTAGCTCACCTTCTCTGAGGGGTCAGCCACTTCGACCCCAGACCTCTGAGATTTGTTCTTCTCTAGCTCCTTGATGTGCTGTTCATTTTGTTCTATGAGGGATGTGACTTGGGCTTGAAGGGCTAAACACTGCAAAACAAACATACCATGGTTGTGGCCTCAGGAATCTGGACTACTATGTAAAGATTAGGAAACCTAAGTAGAGGAGAAATTATAAGCATCAAGTCATAACCTCACATAAGTCTGCTGGGACCACTTCCTCAGCTCCTACCCCAGAGCACTGATGCATAGCAGTCTGTTTCTTCATCACTCAACTCAAAAAGGAGTAGGTAAGAACTATAGTCACATACACATAAACATTCAACATCAGCAGCAACCAATTCACCTCTAAAACGGCTTCAAAGATCACTGAGTTAAAGGTTTTTTACTTGATACTTTAAGGAAAGGAACTGACCTCCAGAGATGGTACTTTCATACCATGACCCTAAGCCATCTTCTACCTCTCTTTCATGCCTGATGGCTTGATCCCATCTCAGTGTCTTTGAACAAGATGTTCTGCCTCCCTCCCTACTTATAACAGCTACTTGTCCTTGGCTCTACTTAAGAGTCACCTCCTTTGGGAAGCCAATTCCCCTAGGCACTTCTTGGAATCACAGCACTTAATGCATATCTTTGTTTCCCTTTCTTAACTGTGAGATTCTTGAAAACAGTTCTTTGTGTGCACTTTCTCTGGCACAGAGGCTGGAACACAAGTGACAATACACATTTGCTTAATAAATGAAGGATCAAATAAAAACAGAAGACTTGTTCCTAAACACTAATGCTGTTTTTAATGTTTCTAGTCAGTGATCTGTCACTCCACATCAGTACATGTAGGATAACTGACAAACTGAACAGTGACACAGTGTATTTATGTTTTCAAGCTATTAACATGTCTAGGATCAAATAGGTCTACAGGCCTTGAGCAGCCTGTTGGCCTCCAGTCAACTGGGCTGCTTAAACTGCCTACTCCCAGGAAAGCAGCTACCTTTTCCTGAAGATATGTCAGCTTCTGCTGGTGGGCATCCCTCTCCGCACACACCTCCTGGTACTGCTGCAGGTGCTTGTCCTTGGCAGAGGCCAAAAGATGCTCACACTTTGCTTCCCAGTGGGTCTGTAGCTCAGTCTGCACTTGGCTCAGCTGCCAAGAGAAAACAGAAGCCACATTCTAGGGGGTCCTGTTGCACTGAAGGGAGCCCATTCTCCATCAGAGAAAGAACATGTGAATGGCCCAGATTTAATCAAGAAAGAACAGCCTGAAAGACCTTAATTACTTTTTGAGTAAATATACTTTCTAAATGAAGGAATAGCCAGGCATGGTGGCACATGCCTGTAGTCCCAGCACTTGGGAGGCTGAGGCAAGACGGTAATGAGTTCAAGGCCAGCCTGAAGTACATAGCAAGACTCTGTCCCAAAAATAAAAGGGAGGAAGGAAGAAAGGAAGGAAAAGAGGGAGGGAAAGGAGGGAGATATCACTGGTTGTTAGAACTCCAAAAGTTGCTCCAACCAGATAAAGGTGTGACTGTCCAGGTCCTTGGAAGGTGAGGCCATAATGCGATTCTCATTTCTCAGGGTTGGTACCCTAAACTCTAGGTTCAGAAACACTTTTTTTTAGCCTTGGCAAATTCCCAGAGGTGATTAAATTGAGGGTACCAGTGCCCTCTAATTAAATGGATTTACACATTTTTAAAAGTACAATGACAAAGACTGCTGCCAAAAGGAATGGACATCCAGCTGTGTCCTGCCACTGTCCATGGCTTCCCTTCCTGATTACCTAAATGAATCTCCTCTTCAAGGTCCTCTTCAAGATGACCTAGAGGTCATCTAGGTATGACCTCTTTGCATGGTTAGAATTTTTTAAAGAGATTTTTTTCATGTTTTACTTATATAATTAGATATTAATGAACTAATTTTTAAAGGAATAAAAAAGATTCTTCATTTGACTCCTGCTCTTCTGCATAAATTTGGATTACTTTCTTCAACTTTTCTCTAAGGTGAAGAATATCAACTGGAAGAAATGATACTGAAGGATAATGAAGAAACTAGAAGTTTTTCTGAGTCCTTCACACCTTTTATTTCCAGAGTACTTCACTTTCCCATTACCTGCTCTGCAGCTGCTTGGTCTGTGGACACTCGAGCCTTTTTCAAGAGCTGTCGAAGTTTGTCCAGTTCCTCCTGGTGTGACTTGCGGATCTCATCTATCTCCTCCTCAGCCTGGCAGCGCTCTTGAGCTGATTTCTTTTTCCTTTCTGAGAGGTTCTTAGGAATAAGAAAACTACTATCAGCTCTAGCTGGTTACCAGAAGATAAGTAGGGATGGTGGAGGTATTTACTTAGATGAGTCTGTGCTCCACTTCCAGAATTATATTTTAACATTCTTGGCTACTGACTAAGAAAAACTGTGATAAGGAAAAGGCAAATAAGGACTTCCATACTCCATTAGGAGCTAGTGAACACCCTGTCTTTGCTGAGAGCCCTGGGAAGCTAATACTTCACACCTTGCTGGTGGGGAAAGAAATGGACATACTTTTTTGGGATGGCAATCTTCTGAAAAGCTTTTTAAAATACACACACCCAGAAATTCCACAAATTGTAATTTACTTTAAGGAAGCGATGTCATGTTCATAAAGATTATGCTCTAAGGATAGTCACTGGAAATAGTAAAACTGTTTTAGGTAAAACTGAAAACAGCCAAAAAAATTTCTTAAATGGTTTAAGTGAAACTAAAACTGATAAAATCATAAAGGAAACTGTAAATGTAGACCAAGTTTTCTCCTAAGAAGGCACTGGGCTTTGTTAATGTTTTATTGAACTCTCAGGAACAGTCTGTTCTTTTTATATTGAAACTGTTCTAGAACATAGAAAAAGATAAAAATGTTCTCATTTTGTTCTATAGGACTAATTATCTTGATATTAAAATTTCAACCAACACAGATAAGATATACTAAAAGAAGCAAACTGAATCGGGCATGGTAGTGCATGCCTGTAATCTCAACACTCCTGGAGGCTGAGGTAGGAAGATTACAAGTTTGAGCTCAGCCTAGGCAACTTAGTGACTTAGCAAGACCCTGTCTCAAGATAAAAACAAGGCTGGGGATGTAGCTTAGTACAAAAGCCATGAGTTCAAACACCAGTACTGCAAAAAAAAAAAAAAAAAAAAAAAAAAAAAACAACAACAAAGGGCCCGCCTGGCAAGTGCAAGGTTCTGAGTTCAATCCCAGGTACTGAAAAAAAAAAAAAGCAAAATGGAAAAATATTTGCCACATTTATGACTAAAAGAGGAATGATACCCTTATAGGATTTAACAATCAAATTTACCAATATGAAAGAGGGATTAAGGACATTAAAAAGTGAATTCACAGAAGAAATACCAGTAGGCATTAAATACATGAAAGATTTACTTCTAATAAAAATACACAGCAAAATAAGATATATTCCACCTATGATGCCAATAAAGATTAGAAGTGTTATCATACAGAGAAATTAGCTTATCTAAGCAGCATGTTTTTCCTTAAGAATAATTTGGCAATACTGACAAAAAAAATCGGGAGGCCAGGGATTTAGCTCAGTGGTTCCACTGCCCGCTTCACAAGTGCAAGGTCCCAAATTTGATCCCTGGTTCATGATTCCAGTTCAACCAATTGAACCTTTAAGAATGCTCAAACAAATTCACTAAAATAATCGTACAGAATAAGGATGTCCACAGAGCTTGAAATAATGAAAAAGTAGAGACATAAATATGTACTGATACATTAAAAAAATAAATAAATTATGATATAGTCTCATTATTATGCTATAGCTACAAAAAAAAAATGATGCTGAGCTATGGATCTGTGGGAGACTGATTGTCTAGTAAGATCAGGACTTGGATTCAACCCTCAACCTTGCCCCACCCCCAATACCTCATTCTTGTGCATAACAAATGTCCGTAATACTTTTGTGAGAGCATTAAACATGAGCCCATTACTGTTTAAAAATTTTATCAGCATATGTATGCATAAATGAGTACAGATATTTTATGCATACAGAAAATCTGCAAAGATCATACATTACAGTATTTATAGTTGTTATCTTTAACTTTTAAGATGAGAGGGCCGGGGATTTAGCTCAGTGGTTTGGTGGCCTGCCTTGTAAGTGCAAAGACCCGAGTTCAATCCCTGGTACCAAAACAAAACAAAACAAAAAACCAAAAAAACTTTTAAGATGAGAGAGGACTGGGGATTTAGCTCAGTGGTGTGGCTGCCTGCCTCACAAGTGCAAGGACCCATGTTCAAGCCCCCATACCCAAAAAAAAGATGAGAGAAGGGACAAAGACAACATCTTTTATTTTATGATTTTCTGTATTATTTATACTTGTTTTAATGGGTACACACATTTGTAATTTTTAAAAGAAAATGTAAGAGTTTATTAATGCTGGCTAGCTGGGTCGAAGAGAGAAACTTGGCTTGCAGAACTTACCTTTTCCAGGGACTCCTTCTCAGCCCGAAGATCTGACAGTTCTTCCTCCAGAGTTGTCAGCTTGAGTTCTAGCTGCTTCCGGCTCTGCTTTTCATTTTTGAATTTGGACTGGGTTTGTGCAGAGGCTTCTTGAAGCTCTAGGAGAGAAGAGCAGAGAGACTCGCTGCAGAACTTAAGGGGCAATGTGGTGTTCCAGTGGCCCTTCCCAAGCTGCAGGCCTCAGTCTCCCCATCCTACCACATAAGCATCCAGCTCCCGCTTCTGTCAGCCATGCCCTCAAGGACCGACAACATGTTCTGAAGAGCAACAAGCTGCTCTCCCACCACCCATATTTACCCCAGAGAGTCATCTCTAATGTACACGTCACCTTCTACACATGCAAAATGAAAAGAGATATTACAGAGTCAGAGATCACCTTCAAAACTGATTGCTCTTGCAATTTCATTTCTGTTACCATCTTATCACATTGAACAGACCTTACTTTAGTATTAGTCCTGGTCCTCACCCACTGCCTAGGAAACATAGTCTCAATTTTCTTAGTAGCCAGGACATTCTGCCAAGACTATGCTTTCAGAACATTCCTTCTCTAAGGAGGTTTTTGGGGAATTAAAAAAAAAAAGTTTAGTGTACCAAAATGTGTTTGAAGGGTCTGAGACTCTTGTGGCTCTAGAGGTGACTGTCACAGGATACCACAACAGCAGAAGTACAAGTTGTGTGATATTCACATTTCAGACTGTCCAACACATATTTGCCTCACATGGACTTGAGAGACGTATCTTCAGGTATCATTTCACTAAACTGCATCACTGCTTTTTAGCTCTCTTAAACTGAGAACTGTGCTTACACCCAGCTCTGCTATTGCGCTGATCCTATCATCTATGCTTTCTGCACTGGTTTGTATATTGCAAGATAGATGAATCAATATGCTAATCTTCACAAATCTTCTATTTGATCACCTTGTCTTTTTTTTTTTTTAAGACAGGGTCTTGATAGGCAGTTCAGGCTGTTGTTGAACTCACTATGTAGCCCAGGCTGGCCTTGAACTCTCAACAATCCTGCCTCAAGCCTTCCAAGTGTTGGCAGAGTATGCACCACCATGCTCAGCAATCTGTTTGTCTGGAGCACCACTTTGGTGCTAGGCACTGAACTAGCATCCATGGAGGAAAGGACTTTACACAGATGAGTAAGACACTAACTTTGCCCTCCAGGAACTTGAATTCTAGAGGGAAGAACAGACACATAAATGGTGCTTTTTAAAGGCTAACTATGATAATGGTCATAATAATTCACTAAGTAAAAAGAATTGTAAAGGAGTGATCAAATGCTCCAGGAAAAACTGAGAAATCTTCTGAAAGAAACACCTTGGTGGCACACACCTGTAATCCCAGCACTTGGGAAGCTGAGGCAGGAGGATCACTGTGAGTTCGAGACCAGCTTGGGATACATAGTGAGTTCCAGGTCAGTCTCAACTACACAGTGATACACTTTTT